GCCTCGCCACCCTCAGAGGGAAGAATTTCTTGCTTAGATCTAATCGAAATCTCCCCTCTTTCAGTTTAAAGCCACCACCCCTTGTCCTATCACTACAGGCCCTTGTCAAAAGCCCCTCTCCAGCTTTCCTGTAGGCCCCCTTTAAGTGCTGGATGGCTGCTATAAGATCACCTCATATGGCCCCTGTATGTCTCTATAGCAGAGAATTACAACTCCCTCCTCAGCTTCCTTGCTTGGTTAGCTATCCTCTATGCATGTGCTGTGTGGACTTTTTGAATTTGATAGAATTCATCTGATGTATTTTTGTGGCCTGATTGTGCAGTAGATTTGTACGTGACTCGGAAAAGCGCAACGCAGTTTTTGTCTGCCACCTGCAGCAGAGGAGGCCGCAAGAGAGACTGCATTTCAGGGCTGCCCCAGTGCATCAGCTGTCAGTGAAGCTGCTGCTTAGAGGTACTCTGGAAAGCAAAGGAAGGCAAATAGCTGATAAAATATACCCTGGCCTTTCTCTAGCCACTGTGTCAGCGGGATGCTGTCCAGGACAGTCAGGTAATTAAAGGTCACAGCAGGTTTGCAGGGCAGCGGTGCGGAGAGGAAAGAGTCTTTGCTGACGGAGATCAGATACTGCTGCTGATCCTCATGTCCATGCAAGATATTTACAATTCCTTTCACATTGCTTCCACATCCATCCATTTTCTGAGATCTAATCATAGAATCACAGAATGGTTTGGGTTGGAAGGGACCTTAAAGATCATCCAGTTCCAACCCCCCTGCCATGGGCAGGGAAACCCTCCACTACACAAGGTTGCTCAAAGCCTCATCCAACCTGGCCTTGAACACTTCCAGGGATGGGGCAGCCACACCTTCTCTGGGCAACCGGTTCCAGTACCTCACCACCCTCAATGTAAAGAATTTCTTTCTTAGATCTAATCTAAATCTCCCCTCTTTCAGTTTAAATCCATTGCCCCTTGTCCTGTCACTACACATCCTTGTAAGAAGTCCCTCTCCAGCTTTCCTGTAGGCCCCCTTTAGGTACTGGAAATGCGAAGAGGTACAGATCCGTATTATTTTGTTTACAATATGCTATACACAAAGCGGTGGCTGCGTGCAGGAGCTGGGAGGAGGACATCCGTGGCACCGCCGCTTCCTGCCACGCGAAGGTGCGAAAATCATTGTCGCAGCGAGAGTTGGCGTTTAGCCTGGCTGCAGTTGGCCCGTTTGTGCAGGGATGGCAAACACAAGCACAGGGAAAGCTTTGATGTTTGCAACTGGCTAAACCCTAAGAGCTTTTCCAGATTCTCCTCTCTTAAAGAAAGTGCAGATCAGTTCCAGGTGTGTGTGTGGCCTCATCCCTGAAGTGGACTGCATTAAATCCTTGTTACCCATAGTCTCCTTCTTTTGCAGCAATGCTGCGATTGCTGTCATCTGGGGCTGCGGTTAAGGAGCGAGGGGAAAACCTGTGAGTCCAACATTAATCTGGGCTACCCCTGCAGTCACGTGATGCTGTCCTGCTGTGAAGGGGGAGATCACTTCATCCATCCAGAAATAAAAAGGCATCCGGAACCTTTGCCAACAGTGACACCTGAGAAGGGTAAGTGCCCGTTTCAGTGGTTTGAAGACATTGCAGATGAGGAGTCTGTCTCACACGGTCATATGCGGAGGTGTGGGAAGGAGTGATGCTACAGGAGCACAGTTGCTTTCCTTCTCAGATCAAGTATAGACTTCCTTGTTCTTAAAGCAGTTTTGAAAAAGGAAAAGAAAATACGTAGGTGTTTCTGATCCTCGAAACGTACCTCCTTTAGTAGTTTGGAGTTTTGGGGTTTCTTTCCTCCCTGAGTCATGTAGTACAGAGACCTGCCACTAGGCCATGGTGGGAAGCAAAGGTGAAGCTGGTCATTGTCTTTTAGCAGAAGCAATCCTGAAAGATTCTTCATTAAGCAAATGATGAGATTTTTCCAGACAAAGTAGTCCCATGGATTATGATAC